GTGTAGCTCGGTGTTAGACCACTTGCGTAGCATGGGTGAGACCCTGGGTTCAACTGCTAGCACTGGGAAAGAAATTAAAAAATAAATAAACTACATGGCTGTTGTCACCCTTTTGTATTATCTATCAGTGGCTTTTTCTAAGTGATCATTATAATCTTATGCAAGACACAAAACTAGATTAAGTGAGAACTAAAACATTATAGCATAGTCATATCGAATATTAAAAGTTGTGCCTCACATTTGAATCACGAGTACTAAAGCCTCCCCACATCTCTTGGGAGATAATAAATAGTAGAGTGTCTACTCTCTGGAAAGCCCTTTAATATATGCCCCCTGTCAGTTTAGTATTACTGTTCCCATTTTACAGACGAGGAAACCAAAGCTCACAAATTATAAAGGGCAAGTCTGAAGTGGAACTAATTGGCAATGCCAGGATTCCCAGCCCTGGTTTCCACTCTGCAGCTCAATTTCTCATTTTATGATCACAGCGAAGCCTGCAGTGACCTTGACCGGTTTTGGAAAAAAACTGAGTTAATAATGTTAACCTCAATCTATATTTACACTTGCTGGAATCATTTAGCCAGCAAAAAGCACTCTATTCTCTCTGGTTTTGCTCCAGTCCAGTCGGAGCAAGTTCTTAGATGTGCCCATTTATTAAAAATGCAGGAGTTGCAACAACACTGGGCAGGGATTACAGGGTTTAAAAGGAAGGGCCATTGGGTTTTTTAGTTTTGGGTTTTTGAATACTTTATTTCAGTGTTACAGACTTTTTTTTTTTTTTTTTTTAATGATGGCTCAAGGGGACAGAAAGGAAAAAAAAAAGTCAAAACTGAGATTCAGAAAAATAATTTGGCCCTGTTTCCACGGCAATAATGACTGGCTATGTTCCAGAATTCCCAAAGACAGTATCAAAGACCAGGTGAGGTGTCAGAGAAACAAAAAAAGATTCTTAGCTGCAAAATGGTGATCTTTTGGAAGAAAGTAGACAGAAAGAAAGAGAAGAGTGTACAGGAGGAAGTACAGAAAGGATTTGTATTCCTTTGGGGATTTTGAGAAAGAACCTTTATTTTCAAAGCCAAAACAAGAGACGCAATGAAGCCAAGTTCTATGCCAATTTATTGGGCTGCAGGAAGGCCTTTTATTCTTCTATTGAAGAAAAAGAGCCAGTATTAGGATCAATAATAATAATAGCAGCTCACAATTACTTAATACCAACCAAGGACTAGGAACTGTGCTAAGTGGTTTACACATATCAGCTAATTTAATTCTCACAATTTCATGAACAAGTATCATTAATACACCCATTTTACAGATGAGAAATGGGTTCAGAGAAGTTAATTTATCCAAGGCCATGCAAGAACAGCAGGGGATTCCCATTCAGATCTGCTCCTCTGCTGAGCCTTGCTCACCCTAAAACACAGGGAGACAAGACAGAAGTCCACTGTCATGTATTTGCAGGGCTCTTCAACACCCTGAAGACCTTCATGGAAAAGAACAAACCAACAAACACATCCGGACCAACAAAGACATCTATTCTAAGTCATGGATGTAGGTTACCCTAATGCCTCACAGAAGACAGCTCATCTTTGGTACCTCTCAAAATGTGCATGTTGGACCACCCAGATTCTCCTGACTCCCCTCCCCCATGCCACCTTTAATCTCCAATTCTCAACTCTCTTGCCATAGGCTGATGCCCACTCAGGACAGTCCAGATACAGAAGGGCCCAGAGAATCCCATATCTGCCTTCACAATAGTCACATTTAGCCCAGGCGAGGATAGAAAGAGGATGGCTGATCCATTCAAAAGAGAAAGGTAAATGACTACTTTGCAACTGAAGTTGACCTTTAGGGGAAAGACATGGGATACATTTAGGGGTGGCTCTGATGACATTTAGAGAGAAACTAGAAAAGTTCTTGATGTTTCTAGGAGCCACCAGTCAGATTCCTGGAGACAATCAGGGAAAGGTTCCATTGGGAAGCAGCCCCAGGACTTTTACGTCAAAACTGCTGGTCATCACTTCCAGCTCAATATCCAGGGCATTGTCTAACTGTCTCCTTGGCCAGGAATTCTCGAAGCTGGCACTTTTGTGACCTCAAGCTTTCAGGTGGAGCTTTTTCCTCCCAGTGGAGTTTGATTTCTGTACCTGAAACCAATGAACTCATCCCTGAGGACCTGTGAAAGCCAAGAGCATTCTGTTCTGACAGTCTGCCCACTTAGGAACCTGGGAGGATCAGAAGGAAAAGCTACTTGCTCTGGTCCTGAGGAGGTTGGGGGGTGAGGATTAGGCCGTGCAGGAGATGGAAGGAAGTACTTAATGGATCTTTCACGGATGACATTTTTCACCATGTAAATCACTCCCTGCACACTGCACACCTAACATATCCCTTGAGTGGGGCACTCACTGCACGTATGCCTCTTGTTTTAGGCAACCTCATTTGAGGTGGAGGATAGCAAGCCTATTTCCTTGACAACTCAGGTCTCTGAAAGGATGAGCAGCTCACTGGGGCAAGAACCTTAGGCCAGGCATGATGGCATGGTGGCACACACCTGTAAACACAGCCACTTGGGAGGCTGAGGCAGGAGGATCCTGAGTTCAAAGCCAGCCTCAGCAACTTAGTGAGGCCCTGTCTCTAAATAAAATACAAAATGGGGGGGGGGGGGCCTCTGGGAATGTGGCTCAGTGGTTAAGTGCCCCTGGGTTCAATCCCCAGTACCACAAAAACAAATTCAGTCCTAATGCTAGACAGAACCAGTGAGGGAGGTGTAGGTAAAGGGCCTCCAGTGGGGGTAGATTTGTGGGTCAAGACACCAGGATTTTTTCTGAAAATAGCTGTGACACAACAGTCCCCTACTCCTCCTGCTTGCCTGAGAGCCTAGACATCATCAAAACTGATCTTAGCTGCAATATGATTGTATGATTGTCCCTCTTTCCTGCCCCCCCACCCCCACCATCATTCGAAATGTTTCTAAGTCACAATTCGGGGCATTGAAACTACCACATCCAGCACTGCATTTTTTTTTTTTTTTTTTTGAGAGGCAATGAAGGTAAGGAAAAGAAGAAGAAAAAGAGAACAGAGCTGATAGAGAGTGGCAGAGGTACAGGATGGGGTTTGGCAACATCACCCGCAAAAGGAAAACTAGATTCCTGCAGTGTGTTGCCTTCTCTGAGGCAGTTAGAAGAGTTTGGGGGCCAACAAAGGGCCCGGTCGGTCAAGATCTTTCAGTACAAAGATTTAGTCTTCACCTCTGAGAACAGTCTGGGAAAGGGCAGAGGTGCTTGGCAAACCTAGGGAGGAGAGCCTGGTCCTTGTGGCTCCTGGAGGAATGCCTGGGTCCTGGGGTTCAGAGGTTGTAAGCAGTGGAGCCTGTGAGTCCCATGGAGCTCTAGGCATGTAAGATAATATTTTAAGTGCTCACTTCTTGAGCATTTTCTAAACATTGAAGCTATTAAAGGTAAGGCCCAGTCCCCCAGAGGCAGGTAGGCTCTGTAGTTCAATGCCCAGCCCCACCTCTGGAAGCTGAGGGAACCAGGGCCTGGATGGAGCCTCCAGGCAGCAGAGGCTTTGGTTAGCAGTGGGAGTGTGTCCATGAATCAATGGCTGCATGTCTTACAATGTTGTCACTTACAGATAAAGGAAGACAGAGAATTAAACCACTTAAGAAGAACAATGGGGAAAACCACAAGGAATTGAGAAGGCACAATGAGGAAGCGGGATTACCAGAGCTCTGGGGGGACTTTAAAGGCTTTAGGGATTCCCTAAGACACTTGCCTCTCACCATCCCTCAACACTGTGTTCACTCTCTGAGCCACACCCCCCTTTAAAAGGTACCAAGTTCTGGATGGGTTTGCTTCCAAGATAAGGGACTACAGGGCTTCAAGGGAAGGCTTGGAACCCCAGTGGCCCTATTCTCTATATATGCATCTGCAACTGGATCTATGCCGAATTAGCAGCTTTGAAGAAAGAGGTCTTCTTATTGTCTTCTTGCCTCTGCCCCTCTGGAAATAAAAGTAGGTTGTGCTTCTCCTGTCCCAGTTCCTTACAGGGAAACCAGAGCTAAAGGGCTTCTTGGATTACCGCTTCCAATTCTCAGTCCAGTGTATCAATGTCTGTGCCTTTTGTCTTGGCTACTGCAGTTTTGATGAGAGAAGCCAAAACCAGTCTTGGGGCTGGTTAAGACTGAGATCCTGCAGCACAGGCACGGAGGTCCTGGACCTCTGGAGAGGTGGTGCTCTGCTCCTGGGATTCCTTCCCTGTGGTAGGAGGTGTAAGAAAGGAGGATGGCCAGAAAGCCACAGGTGCACTCACAGGTGCAGAACACACCTGCACTGGCCAGGTATAGAAAGCCTCTGGAGAGGTTGGTGCTGGGGCAGAGCGCTCTCTCCATGGGCTCGTTTGCTCACAGAGACACTTCTGGGGCTGGAGAACTGCAAGTGGGCATTGCAAGATCACGGAGCGGGGAGGTAGAGGGGGCTTAAAGAGGCAGGAAAGGAGCTGTTTTCTTCACTCTAATGCTTGAAAACCAAGACTCAATCTTGTGCCAGGTCTCTTCCCGCTTCCCTTATCTTTATTTTTATTAACTCAGCCCTGAGGTCCGTGACCCGCCAAGGAGACCAGAAGTTGAAACACTGCAGATAGAACCCTGGGACCCGCACAGCCACACTACTACCCGCTGTCCTGGCTCCTTGAGCCTGTACCTAGCCACTCTCTCCGCTCGCCTTGGACGGCAGGGCTGGGTCCCTCTGGCTCTCCATAAGGGGGCCAGCAAACGCTCTTTTCCAGGCTGACCGCGGGGGGAAGCAAAAGTTGGAAATGCCCGGGCAGAAATACCTGCCCGTCCGAAAGGGTGCAGAACTGGATCCCTAGAGGGCCGGGGCACGTAGGGAAGGCGAGGGGAGAACCAGGGAGCTTCGCACCGCTTGTGGCCGAGCAGCGACCTCGCGCGCCAGGTGGGGCCCCTCCACTAAGCCTGGAGCGTAGGTGGCGCCGGCGGCACTTACCCCAGAGCAGAGTGAGCGGCATGGCTTTGGGGATGAGCACCAAGGAGTACACAGCACCCAAGTGAAGCAGGCTCATCAGGACCACGTTCCTCCAGACGATGTTCAGCCGCTGCTCACGCGCGCCAGGCCTCTCCTGGCGATCGCAGAACGCCAAGCCTTCGAGCTCAGAACGGATTTCCTCCTTGGCATCGCAGAAGGAAACCTTCCCCGCGTCAGTGGCCTGGCCTGGCATGGCTGGGGAGAGGTGGGCGCTGGCAGCAGCGACGCGCGGAGCAGCTGGCTGCGGCGGGGGCTCTTGCCTTTTAGCCGGGATTCTCCGCACCTCGCGTCCCCGCCCTCCCAGCCCTTCTCTCTTCTTCAGGCGTTCAGCGTAGCCTAAGGATGCCAATCCTGGCGGACGGCATCTGTTGCTGGCGTATCACCCGTGCAGCTGTCGAGCTCAACTCCGCTGCGAGGAAGAGGAGGCGGGAGCAGGGGCCGAGAGGGCGGGGTGGAGAGGGCTGGAGCGCTCGCCCGGAGCCGAGGAAGAAAGACCTGCATAGCTACAGCCAATCAGCACTGCCCATGGGGCTCTTAAAGAGAAGGCCCCCTAAGCCCGGAGTCTGGGCTCCGCAGGGAGCCCCCCTGGACCGGAGTTGGCAGCTCCTGACCCGGGTTCGGTGAGATGGGGCTCCGGGGACAGGGAGCCTGCAGCATGGCTCTCAGAGTGCCTCCCAGCACTCTTGTTGGTTTATGTGTGTCTATTTTCTCTAGACCCTAAGCATACCGTTTCTAGATGATTCCCATTTGAACCTCGTCCCCCTTCCCCCCCTCAAGCCACAGACCAATCTTGTTGGAAATTTAAAATATTTGCTTGGAGTTTCACCGGGAGTTAAGGGCCACATTTACCATGAGAATCTTAAATTCCTGTCTGGCGGTTAGTAAGGCTCCCTAGGTCCAGGAGAGGAGTGTACGGCAGTCAGTCAACTCTTAGGGAGCCGTGGATGATCCAGGCACACAGCAGGGGCTCAGCGCTTGGTGGTTGATGCTAGAGGATTTGGAGCTGGCTACCAGCCAACAGTGCCTTGCTGCTGCTCAGCTCATCAGCCCTACAGCTCTGTTTACGGTAAATTCTAACTAACCAATATGTTTCTGACTGGGAAAATTTTTTGTTGCTGCCCATTTCTCCCCACCTGCAAGTGGACAATGGAAGAAAAAGGGCTCAGGACTGGAAGCCAGAGGCACTGAGTTCTACTTTTAATTTGCTGTGACCCAGCTCAGCTTCCTGGCACATTTTTTCTTACCTGGGAAACAGAATTAGTCTGTTCTTGCTTCCAGCTTGCAAATTCTGTGCATTTGTTGAAGGGGTGCCATTATGTTGACATTATACTGAACATGAGAAAAAGCTGATGTTTTGATTTCTCATTATTAGGAATCCTTTTCAGGATTCCAGGCGAGAGGAAAAAAAAAAAAAAATACAAAGGACTGACTTCATGAAAGGGCCACACTGGAGAATCTTACTGTTAGCAGATCTGAGCCAGTCCACTCATCCAGATAAAACAATGTCTAGTTTAAAACTGAAGCAAAATCTGTGGCTTGTGGAATCCCGGCCACTGAGCTACTGTTATGGTGGAGCCTCAGATGGAGCTGAAATTAGAGAACTAAAGGAAACTTGCCTGAGGACCAGATAAATGTTGGCACTGTATAATGACCAGTGAGACAATGGATCGGGGAACTGGAGGGTGTGAATTTCATCAGTTTGCTCAACCTTCACTTTATAATGAACCCCTCCCCCCCCCCCCCATGCCTGCTCTATTCCTTCTCACTTCTACCAGACCCACCCGCTATCTGTGGCTCTTTAATACAGTCTGTTTTTTCTTTCTTAGGTGGCCTAGTTACTTGGTCAAAGACCTCTCTCTGGATTAGTGTTCTCTAACCATTCAGTCATCTGTTTGGCATTTATTAGACGCCTGCTTTGAGTCAGGACTAGTGAGCACTGGGGATACAAAAATGAATACAGTATGGTCCCTGCCCTAAAGGAGTTACCATAGATCCAAGACTGATCAAATAAATGTAACCTTTTGGCTATGACCTTGGAAGGGCAGAAAGTTCCAATCTATTATAAAAAAAAACAAAACTTTTTATTATGTATCTTATATACACGGAGTCAGGGGGAGCAGCAAAATAGTTCTTTATTAGTCACACTGAGTTCCTTATCTGTTTGATAAACTGCTTTATCTTGAACCTATCTCAAACCAACATCTTCCTCTTTTCCAATGGATCAGATTGGGTTGGGCCAATGGTTTCAGCTGGTTGACTTCATGATGGAGAAGAGAATGTTTTTGTGTGTTGGGGAGGAGAGAAGTGTCCTTTAGGTCTTCAAATTATACCTTTGAAGACAAATGGCACCTCCTCATCCAGCCTCAGAGTGCAACATCTACCAGTCACAACATATACTCTTGCTAATAACTGTCCACTGTAGCACATTATGCGTCAAGGTCATTGCATGTTTTCTTAGGTTCTGCTCAGAGCCTCAGAAGTGGGTGAATATTCATCTCACCCCAGGATAAGTAACCCTTACCCTGCCAAACAATTACCAAAATGTGATATGAGCCATAATAGTAGTATGTTCGGGATAAAAGGAGGGAGTAATCCTGTACTTATGCACTGAAAAAGTAGAAAGAAGGAAGCGAGGAGGGAAAGGTTCAAGGACAAAATAGTCATATTAGAAGATACGTCAAATTATAACCATTGCTACATGGGCAATTTTATTTACCAGTGCTATGTACATAGTGGACAAGTTCTTTTGTGAACTATCCAGTCCTCCTAGATATTTAGAAGTGCTTGATATATTTAAAAGTAGAAGTGGTAGAATAAAAACTTCTTATAAATAGCTTTTTTTTTTTTAAAGAGAGGGTAATTAATTCATTTGAAAGGGAGAAGGGAAGGTTATATTTGGGTAAGGATTTCTTTAGAATATTTATTTAGTTGTGGAAAAATACATATAACCTAAAATTTACCATCTTACCATTCAGTAGTGTTAAGCAAGTTTGCATTTTGGTGCAACCAATCTCCAGGACATTTTCATCCTGAAAAACTGAAACTCTATACCCACTAAATAAAAATTCCCTCACTTTCTCCTCTCCCCAGCCCCAGTAACCACTATGCTACTTTCTGTATGTATTCTCTCTTATATTAGTGAAATCACACTCGATTTATCATTTTGTGACTAGCTTCATTTAGTTTAATGTCTTCAAGGCCCACCCAGGGTTGTATCTGGATCAGAATTTCATGCCTTTTTGAGGCTGAATAATTCCATTGTATGTATGTGCGGCAGGTAGCTTATCTGCTCATCTGTTGATGGATACTTGGTTTGCGTCCACCTTTTGGTCATTGTGAATAATGCTGCCATGAACATAGATGTACAGATAACTCATTGCAATTCTGTTTTTAATTCTTTTGACGGTATGCACAGAAGTGGTATTGCTTGATCTTATGGTAATTCTGTATTTAATATTTTGAGAACTCCCCCACAGCTGCTTTGCCATTTTGCATTTCCATAGCACTGCACAAATATTACCATTTCTTCACATCTTCACTTATACTTAGCTGTTTAGATTTCAGCAATCCTAGTGTGCAATAATATCCTATTGTGGTGTTTGATGGATTTATCTTAATAATTAGTGATGTTGAGCATCTATTCATGTATTTTTTTTTGATCATTTGTTTATCATTTTTGGAGAAATATCTATTCAAGATCTTGTCCATTTTTTTAAGTGGGTTTCTTTTTTTGCTGTAGTGGTAGTTGTTGAGTTGTGGGAGTTCTGTATATATTCTAGATATTAACCTATCAGATATACAACTTGCAAATAATTTTCTTCCATTCTGTAGGTCGTCTTTTCACTCTGCTGTGTGTTCTATTTTGGTACTGGGAACTAAACCCAGGGATGCTCTACCATTGAGCTACACTATACCTCCAGCCCTTTTTATTTTTTGAGACAGGGTCTCACTAAGTTGCCCAGGCTGGCCTTGAACTTGTGATACTCTTGCTTCAGCCTTGAGTTTCTGGGATCACAGGCCTGTGCCACCATGCCTAGCTCTATTGTGTCTTTTGATAGAGAAACTTTTAAATTTTTATATATTCCAAGTTATCTATTTTTACTTTTATTGCCTTTGTTATTTTGCATCCAAGAAATCATTGCTAAATCCAGAGATTTTTCCTCTAAGTTTTCTTTCAATTTTATGTTTTAGCTCTTTTATTTAGATCTCAATCTATTTTGAATTAATTTATACAAGGGGAAGGTCCAGCTTCATCCTTTTGTATGGGATACCCGTTTTCCCAGCACCATTAGTTGAAGAGATCCTCTGTCACTGTTTAAATGATCCTGGCACCTTTGTTGAAGATCATTTATCCATATATGTGAGGCTTCCTTTCTAGACTTTCTATTCTGTTCCATGGGTCTACATGTCTTTGCTAGTGCCAAACCATTTTCATTACTATACCTTTGTAATAAGTTCTGAGACCTCCAATCTTTGTTCTTCTTTCTCAAGATTGTTTTGCCTATTTGGGGTCCATTGAGATTCTGTACAACTTTTAGTATGGATTTTTCTAAATCTGTCAAATTTTGATAAAGACTGCAGTAAATCTTTACACTACTTTAGGCAGTATAGATATCTTAATGATGAACAGAGGACACCCTGTCCTTGGAAACGGGAATGGAATAAATTTGAAAATCTATTTTATTTAATCCAATATATCCAAAACATATCTTCTCAAGTGTAATCAATATAAAATTATTGAGATATTTTGTACCTTTATCAAGCTGTGCCTTCAAAATTCAGTATGTATACTTATAACACGGCACATCATAATTCAGATTAACCACAAATCAAGGGCTCAATACCCTATGTGGCTAGTTGCTAGCATATCAGACAGCATATTTTTGAAGGGTGAGTAGTTAATAGACAAATGTCAAAGAAAACAACGTGAGCAAAGTTTTTGCACTTGGCATTCAAGGAGGTGTATGGAATGCCTGAAGTGAAAGTAAGGAATATGGGAGACAAAGCTGAAATGGCATGCAGTAGGCAGCCTGGGAGGGCCTGTGGGTGTCTGTGATGCCATATGGAAAGAGCTATAAGGTGGTAAGGGTAGCCAGCTAAAGGCGTTATGCAGCATAATAATTTGATCAAGTTTGCATTGCAGGAAGACCCCAGACTACTTTAGAAGATATGTGGGGAATGACTGGGATAGGA